ATGGTCCTGTGTACCTACACCTGCGCCCTTCGTCCTCTGGGTTTCCAGAGATCAGGGGTGCCAGAGTATACGGTGCAATTTTACGGAATAATACAGTGCAATTTTACGAGTAAACAGTGCAATTTTACTAGTATACAGTGCAATTTTACGAGTAAACAGTGCAATTTTACTAGTATACAGTGCAATTTTACGAGTATACAGTGCAATTTTACTAGTATACAGTGCAATTTTACGGAATACAGTGCAATTTTACTAGTATACAGTGCAATTTTACGGAATACAGTGCAATTTTACTAGTATACAGTGCAATTTTAGGGAATACAGTGCAATTTTACCAGTATACAGTGCAATTTTACGGAATACAGTGCAATTTTACGGAATACAGGGCAATTTTACTAGTATACAATACAATTTTACGGAATATACAGTGCAATTGTACTAGTACACAGTGGAATTTTACTAGTATACAGTGCAATTTTACTAATAAAAAAATGTACTGTATACTAAGATTGCACTGTATTCCGTAAAATTGCACTGTATACTAATACGATTGTTCTGGATTCCGAAAAATTGCACTGTATTCCATAAAATTGCACTGTTTACTAATACAATTGCACTGTATTCCGTAAAATTGCACTGTATACTAATACTATTGTACAGTATTCCGTAAAATTGCACTGTATTCCATAAAATTGTACTGTATTCCGTAAAATTGCGCTGTATACTCTGTCACCCCTGGAGATTATGTATATATATCGGGTGGTTTTCATTCGTGATGTGTTTTTTTTCTCGCTTTTCGCCTCGGGGTTTTGAGGCGTATGTTGAATATACGCCATAGGTCTGTTTAATTAATTTGCCTCCACCCACGAGTACACGTGTACGTCAGACATGTCAGAAAAACGTGCCGTTAACTCACCTATTTCAATAAACATTTCAATTTAGAATCTAATTTCTCAGAACGCTACCAGTGCATCCAATTCTCTTCTAAAATTCCTTGTAGTACTTCTGAAAAACAAGAATTCCGAGATCTCATACCTCCATGAAATATAAATGTAACATGAAATATGCTCCTATCACCATATACTAGTAGTACATGTATGTAAATGTATGTGAGTAAGAATTAACAGAGCAGACCATGTCCGAAGGTAAACATTATGCATTTGCTTGCAAATGTTAGTTACTACAGTAGTTTTTTTTTAATTGTATCCGTGTTTTTGAGTGTCGAAATAAGAATATTTGGACGGCCTCTGGACACACCCGTGCGTGTGACAGTTGGTAACGTTTTATCAGTTTGAATCTCATATTTCTTGCTTTATTTTACAGTGACCGTTTCCTCGTCTGTGGGAGCCCTGCCAACGACAAAACTTCCTCATGGCGAACGATCTGACACTGAATCAACGGCTCCTATTGTGACGTCACATTCAACAAACAGCGGTGAGATACCTTCTCTACCATTTAATCATCTACCATGATTATTTTCTGTCTGGGAGATTTCTGTACTATTACGTTATTTCATTTTCATTGTATTTTTTGCTACGTATACATATTTATGTTTACCAAAGGAAAAGATATTGTTTTTGCTCTGTTTCTTCCTCTTCTTCCGTTCCAAACACTAGCTGACCTCTGACCTGGTCAATGACCTGAACTAGACTGTCTCTCACCATGGTAACTAGTGTTGGGTTACATAATGTTGCAATTTTATAGGAGGAGGGATTTAGACTCCTGTCACCATATATGTGATGTGCTTGAGTAAGAATTAACAGAGCAGACCATGTGCGAAGGTAAACATTATGCATTTGTTTTGCAAATGTTACCTTTCTAGTTCTTACATTATTTTTTTTACTTTTAGTTTACAATATTAGCCCATCTAGATGTAAGTCCACTGAGATATGGTAATTAGTCCGGAATTAAACTGGAAGTCGGGAATTAAACTGGAAGTCCGGAATTAAATTAAACTTGAAGTCCGGAATTAAATTAAACTTGAAGTCCGGAATTAAATTAAACTGGAAGTCCGGAAGTAAATTAAACTGGAAGTCCGGAAGTAAACTGGAAGTCCGGAATTAAATTAAACTGGAAGTCTGGAATTAAACTGGAAGTCCGGAATTAAACTGGAAGTCCGGAATTAAACTGGAAGTCCGGAATTAAACAGGCTGTTGTTTGTCCTGGCCACTACCACCTCCTAAGTTTGAGGTTAAACACCTCACACATGCCGACGGGATTTCATAGGTTACTCATGGTTAATGTAGTTACCTGGCAATTTTGATTGACAGGGGCAGCAGGCGGCCACTTATGATAGAACTATGCCTATGGGCTTGCTCACGGTGCCGCGCAAATCAGTCCAATTAATGGCTTATAACCTTGTAGTTTACACATGCACCTACGTGTACATGTGTTATTTATCATTGCCGCTAGTTCTGTGCAGGTTTCATGTAACAAACGCCGTTTTGACATTTTACAAAACGACAAAACGAAGCTGTATACATGTATGTATCTATGGCCGTGTTTAAGTGAAGTCACCCAAGGCGCTTTACATGTGGTTTACCCCGAAGCCGGTTTCAAGTGGCTCCATCTGAACGCTCCGAAATCACATTGAAAGCGCCTCGATCCCAAGCCACTTCTAGAGGTGGTTTCGAATCGGTTTTCCCGCATCGCGATTTGCGGCTGAACGCAATGTGATTTCAATGTAACTTCGCCTGGTCATGGATTACGGGGTGATATTTCTTTATTTATATGCAATACCAACTTTTACGTGGCAGCAACTTAAGAACAGTAATGGTCAAATAATGTGTCCGTTCTAGGGCGAGCTTCACCGCCTCTGGCGGGACCACGTCGGCATTCGGCCGAGATACGCTGGGAGGGGGGCATCAGCAAGCAGGTCGTTGACCTCTGACATTAATAACACGCCACCTTGCGTGTCATCATCAAACAGCAATAAATGTAGCTCAAGCGAATTGTGATCGGACACGGTTTCACAGGAGTGTCTGGCCCGTGGACCAGTTTTGAGGAATGTGAGTTACCCGAATATATATTGCGGTTTGGGTGACTTCACTTAAACACGGCCTATGATAGAACTATGCCTATGGGCTTGCTCACGGTGCCGCTCTAATTTGTCCAATTAATGGCTTATAACCTTGCAGCTTACACCTGCACCTACGTGTGTTATCTATCATTACAGCTATTTCTGGTCAGGTTTCATGTAACAAACACCGTTTTGACATTTTACAAAACGAAGCTGTATATGTATCTATCCATCAACGGCTCAGCAGTTTCCGTAAAGGCCTTGTTGATTTGATTATATGGATGACATCGACGCGCGCATGAATTTTTGGTAGAATGCCGAAAAAGACGAAAATGTAAAGAAATGAAAATGTGTGACAGGGGCTATAGTCTACAACATTCGTGTTCGCTCTATCCTCATGTCAACTTAAAGTGCGTGGGCGTAGTAACCTCGTGTGTAGTGCCGTCACACTTGAAAGAAAACCATTTCATTGCGTGATGCTTTCAGTATTAACCTTGGCAATGTTGACTGTTCTCTGTGTAGCATGTTAACGTTTATAAAGAAGACGGAACACCTCATATGTGGAGCTGTAGTTGTAAAGTTCCTAAAGTTAAAGAGCCTTCCCGCGTATTGACGCATTTGGCGGCGTCCATCTCCGTTTTCAATAGCCCTGGGCCACACATCAGTGTCACACTACGGTGCTAGTCCATTGGTAGTGGCGTGTGTGTTTAACTCCCATACCCTTTCCCAAATGAGTGCTACACAGAGAATGTACCATTTTTAAAGTCTTTCGAATGACTCGGCCATTGCACCATCTGTTAAGTTCCAGAGTCCATTAAAAGTCCATTCTGATTCTAAAACCATTCAGTTAAGTACTAGTAAGTACAACGAGTACCATACCAACCAAGTGCCAAGCCATTAAGAAACCTCTCTTGACTTTAAAAGGGTTTTGTGTATCGGAGAAAGCCCATAGGAAACGCGAAGTTGGATGCACTGTTCTTTGTAACTTTTACAGCTACAGGTAGGTTTCATTGCATGCGGTACTATGGATTTAGACAGAGACGCCAGCATAGAAGCGGACGCGTGAACATGTAAATATGTGTGCTTTAAAAATATCAAGATTGTTTAAAATATCTCAAGATTTATAAAGCAATCTTAAAAGAAATGTTAAAATTGCTTTTTAAACAATCTTGATATTTTTAAAGCATCTCGAGATGCTATGGAAAAACCTCAAGATGCTTTGAAAACATCTTTAGAAAAGATCTTTAGACCTTTCATTTTCATGTTAAGATTTTCTGAAAGATCTTGAGATTGTCATGAAAAATCTCAAGATTGTCTCATAAGATCCGAAGATTTCGTCTAAAATATTGAGATCTTTGGACTAAATCTTGAGATTTTTCCATTTTTAACGAAGCGTGAAGACCCCCGCTGGGTGTCATTATGATCCGCTATGTAACAGAGAAGTTTGTGACAAAATATTAGATATGTACCTCTAAGGTAAATAGAACATCAACAAGACTGGCAATGAAAACATACATTGCCATGGCGACGGTGGTTGCTGTTAAGGTTATTGTTTGCATGGCATTGCCATCATTTCATGATTTTGAGGAAGACTTGGTATCTGTTAAATCTAGATAGATACAGTGTATTCCTCCCCTGAGTGTATAGTGAACGAGCCCCGGGGTCACAGAAAGTAGGGCCATCTGGGGCAGACAGGTCTTCTCAAGGGTTCCAGGAATGTGGGCATAGATATGGGTCAGAGAAATGCCCGTGGACATTCCGCATGCCTGTGGACAAAATGCCTGTACCATTCCTAGAATTCTTGCAAACTGCACACAATACTGTACCATTAGGCTCCTCCCTGAGACCTCGCCAAAAAGGCTCGATGCTTGTAATCAAATACAGGGTTTGCATTGTAAGGTAGAGTTACGTACAGAACGTATACCTAAAAGGCTACTATATGTTTCTTAACCTTCTAACATCTTTGTTTTCTTTTCTGCAGATAACACTTCACTGGCCACATTTGCCATGAACTCTAGTAACCCCGTCAGGACCTACTCCACGCTGGTAGTAGTGGGCTTCTCTACACTAGCGGGCATCTTCAGTCTGGTGGGCACCGTGGGCAATGGACTGGTCATCCTGGCCTACTGTAGTTACCGCAAAGTAATGCTTGTGATATTGTACAATTGCTAGTCAACTATTGCTATTCAAGTTAACGTTTGTTCTTCTAACTAGTCAAGTTAACGCCTATTCTTCCCACTGCTAGTCAAGTTGACGCCTGTTCTTCTAACTGCTAGTCAAGTTAATGTTTGTTCTAATTGCTAGTCAAGTTAACGCCTGTTCTTCTAACTGCTAGTCAAGTTAACGTTTGTTCTTCTAACTGCAAGTCAAGTTGACGCCTGTTCTTCTAACTGCTAGTCAAGTTAACGCCTGTTCTTCTAACTGCTAGTCAAGTTATTGCCTGTTCTTCTAAGTGCTAGTCAAGTTAACGCATGTTCTTCTAAATGCTAGTCAAGTTAACGTTTGTTCTTCCAATTGCTATTCAAGTGGACGTTTGTTCTTCCAATTGCTATTCAAGTGGACGTTTGTTCTTCTACCTGCTAGTCAAGTTGACGCCTGTTCTTCTAACTGCTAGTCAAGTTAACGCCTGTAATTCTAACTGCTAATCAAGTTAACGTTTGCTCTTCTAACTGCTAGTTAAGTTAACGCCTGTTCTCTTGACTGGTAGTCAAGTTAACGCTTGTTCCTCTAACTGCTAGTCAAGTTAGCGCCTGTTCTTCTAACTGCTAGTCAACGCCTGTTCTTCTAACTGCTAGTCAAGTTAACACCTGTTCTTCTAACTGCTAGTCAAGTTAACGTTTGTTCTTCTAACTGCTAGTCAAGTTAGCGTTTGTTCTTCTAACTGCTAGTCAAGTTAACACCGGTTCTTCTAACTGCTAGTCAAGTTAACGTCTGTTCTTCTAACTGCTAGTCAAGTTAACGTCTGTTCTTCTAACTGCTAGTCAAGTTAACGTCTGTTCTTCTAACTGCTAGTCAAGTTAACGCCTGTTCTTCTAACGCTCACAGGTCCGGACTAGCGCAAACACCTTCATCCTGAGCATCAGCATCAGTGACATCCTGCTGACCGGTGTCCAGTACCCCACCAGGATGGCCGCCATGATCACCGGGGCCCCGCCTCTCGGAGACGCCGTGTGTCAGATCCTCGGCGCCCTGACGTTCTTCAGCGTCTACGTCTCCTTCTTCTCCGTCGTCTTGATCGCTCTGAGTCGCTACGTGCGGATCACCAAGTCCTTAGACACCTACAAGAAGCTGTTTCGACCTTCCAAGTCCTTCTTGTGGGTATCTCTATCCTGGGTTGTGAGCGGGCTGCTGGTTGCGCCCGGATTTCTAGGCTATGGTAAATTCGGCTGGAATACCCGAAACAGGCAATGTGGTCTGGTCTATCCACACCCGTACCAGCCGCACTACTTCTCCAACGTTTTTGGTGTAACTTGTTGGGTTACCCTTTGCCTTGCGGTCGCCATTTTTCTGAAAATCTACTTCGACGTGAAGAACTCTGTGATGACACTGGTCGAGGCTAACCCTAACGAATACCAGGACCAGCATGTACCAAAGAGGCTGATCAAACAAACAAAACACATGTTCATCTTCTTCTGTGCATTAGCAATTAGTGTTTCGCCACATGCACTGTTGACCAGTATAGATGTACATGCGAAGTTCATGCCGACTGCGTTAAGAATCATGGTAATCCTACTTTTTGGTCTAAACCATGTCGTGAATCCATTTCTGTACGCCTGGAAATTGACCATATTCAAGCGTGCCTTTAGTGCTCTCTTTCACTGCAAGCGCCGCCTGCCGTCTCAGCCTAGAGCTGCAGTGAACAGGCATTAGTAATCAGACGGCTATTAAAGGGACCCTCAGGTGACTCCATATGGAACACATGTTCCGTATGTGTTATACAGGAATGTGTCACTCTTTACTGTGTAAGTTTTCATGGGCTATATGATAATAGCGTTAATGGCCCGCCCTTTCTCGGTGAATATGGTGTGATAAAGCCTTGTCAGTTGCTATAACCACCTCATAAAGCCAACTCGTTCGCTGCGCTCACTCGGTGGCTTCATTCGGTGGTTATAGCAACTGACAAGGCTTTATCACACCATATACACCTCGGGCCGGGTCCTTAACCCTTATCTGTATGTCTATTGTAAATGATGCCAAAACATGTACATAAGAATCGGTCCACAATCAAATCGTAATCAATTGTTATGTTTATTAATATGTAATTGTTATGTTTATTAATATATATTTGACATGTGAATGTTCTATTTTCCTAGTAAAGTTACCGTTTATCCCTAAATTTACAATTTATTTGTTTATTCATTTATTGTGTAAATAAATTACAATGGTTACTGTTTAATTTGGTACTACATGTAGTGGTAGAGCAGTGTAAACGTATTCGAGTAAATGTTTTGTATTGAATATAACTTTATATGAGTTCAAAAGTCATTTTTTGTGTATGCATGTTAGCGTTACCGTTTAACTCAGAAAACTATAACTGTTACTGTATTTATATTTATATTATCAAATAATATATATTATTATATTATCTTAGCCCATCTGGGCAAGAACATTCAATAATAATTCATATCATTAAACTTTTCGCTATATTATTATTCAATGTACCAATAAACATCTGGAGCACTATATATAACGTTAGAGTACTCCATTTCCTGTGTCCAAACTAAGATATTATCAGCTTCGCTCATAGGGCGTTGCCAAAAACAACACACTGTTGCAGTACGACGTCGGATTATGCACTATCAATATCATCTGCTAGACGGCGCACTTTAGAGATGGTCTCGTGACTGTCATCAGCTGATTCAGCACCAGCTGACCTGAGGGGTTCCGGGTCGGACTTCGCTTCCTCAGTTTTCGCCGGTAGTGCGACGTTTTCGTCCAGACTAAGCGGTAAATAAGGTAAGTCTTTCCCTTTCTGGGTCCATCTTCTTGTCCGTGTAGAAAATTCGGTGACATAAATGAGTTTTAGCGGTCAAGAAATGGAGTTTTGGCAGGGTGCCTATTGTTGTTGTGTCCCTTGAGCTTTTTGAGGGACCGAAAGTCCAAATCAATTATAACGGTATCACTAGTGTTACATAACTTTTGATAACGTTACAATGTTATCTGTGGTGCTATTTGTATATGTGTAATCTTGAATAATTTGTGTGGTCGGTTTTCAGGCAAGAAAATGTGCCCCCCTCCCTCCCCCAAACACACACACGCACGTGAAAATATCCGGATCCCTTTGTTGCGCAATAAATGAATTATGGGCCACTAGCCAATTGTAGACGTCACCAAACTAGGATGCGCTACGGAAGTATCTTCAGTGTCACTTTGTAGGAATCCGGTTAGGTGTTTTCGTTTGTCTTTGTTGTAATAACACAAATATTTGCATCACTCCAAGCATGGAGTTAGAACTCCATGCTCCAAGGACATGTATTACTACATGTAGTATATATCTGTGGTCATTGAATTTAAGTTCAACTGTTGAAAATACTTTTATCAAGCAGCAGATAGTTTTGTATCCTCTTCTGTTATGATTGCATATCCAGCCCTATTTAGCTCCACTGGAAAGTCCATGGTCACACAGTCTATATAGCTATATATATAGTATATTATATCATTGAGCTGTAAGTATAATCTCAAATTATAGCTCCATGGTACAAAATGTATAATATAGGGACAACTATCACACTAGCCAGACCTTTGACATTTACCGGTATCCGAAGTCCTCTAAATATAGATTTGGGAAAACAATCAGTGCTTTTTTATACCATTGTAGATTTTTCCAATCAATACATATTTGATATTCATTCATTAAGGCCACACCGACTTAATTTTATGGATGACATCCTCTGCAGACCCCCAAAGTAGTGCACACTGGCGAATAAAAAAAAATTCTGGCCAGAAATAAAAATGCTACCAAACCACAGGAATACAAAGCAGGTATTGTGAATTTGCAGCAGTACTAATAGCAACGTATACCTATACGACAAGCTGGCACATACTGGCTTTTTGCGGAATTTATGAATCGGTAGTGTACATAATACTATGTACTGAGTTTTTGAGTCATGGAGCTTCGGCAGCCTGGGTGCCATCCTCAAAGTTACCACCGGCTCCATATTGTCGCTAACTACCATGGACTACCCAGGCCTAGAGACAGGCCAGAGCCTCTGAGGACGTGATCTTTTTTTTCTTCAATGCGCGTGGATGTCATCCATAAAATAAAGTCGGTGTGGCCTTATAAGCAAGAAATAACAGACCTGGAGTGAATCTAAACCCGGAATTACATGGACTTTGTTTACATGGTACAACCTGCTGTTTAGTCAGGTAGACTCTTGAGATGTGGCACAACACTTGAGGGTGACTTGAGGGTAATCATCTGACCCAGTTAGCCACTGAAGATGTAGATCATTGCAGTTGGAAACAGGATGCCTTACACTATTACAGGGTGCAATTCTTATCAATTCTGCTAGGTGGCATACCTACATTGTACAGTTGATCAATGAGCAGTCTTTTGGCAATAGCTATTGACCAACTCCAGTATTGTCAGTATTGACAGGACTGGTAACAGAACCAGAAGTGGTCGTGTGGCGCAGTTGGTAGCGCGTTCGGCTCACGTCCAAGAGGTCTCGGGTTCAAATCCTGTCACCGATCTTGTGCCCTTGGGAAAGGTACTTTATACTTTACAGGACTTTCCTCACTTCACTCAGGTGTAAATGAGTACCTAGCTCCGCTTATATAAGGACGTCCCTCTGATAGGACGTTAAATGGAGGTCCCATGTTTGGGAGAGTCACACCCCACGCAAGCTAAAGAACCCACCGCACTTATCAAAAAGAGTAGGGGACCTTCCCGGTGTGAGTGGTTCAAACCTTACAGTCCGGTCTTACGCAGCTTGTACGTGTACAAAATTGGTGTGTTACGCCTAAAGGCGGTTTACTGGTTATGCTAAACAAACAAACAAACAAACAAGAAGTGCTATTTAGCCAGTTGGATATTTCTATGATTTTTCAAAAATCACAATATGCTGTAATTCAACTCTTTCTTATACAGAGCATCTACACCTATCTGTACTTTACTTTGGATACTGCATTCATTACTAATACGCTTTTCTTTTTTTCATATTTCCAGGCTGAAAAAAAATGTCTATCATGGACTTCCAGATAGATGGGCTGGTTGCCGCACCTTTCACCCCCATGAAGGATAATGGGTATGTCCCGTTTTCTATAAATGACAATTTTGTGATACTGATGAACAGTTAAAACATCTTCATATTGCGTGCAATTTAAAAAGACTTTTAACATAAATGGCATTCAGCTGTAAATAAATACATTTACATTTTACAATGTTCATTACAACGATACCTTAAATTCTTATATTACATACAGTTATATTACATTCCAGGTAGATTTAAGACTTATTTAACTTAAGATTTATTTTCTTCCCTTTTTTTTCAGGGAACTCAACTTGTCATTGATAGAGCCATATGTTGACTATCTTGTGTCACAGGGAGTACTGAATACATTTGGTAAGTACATGTACATTGTACATGTAGATACATATACTGTTGTAATGAATGAAAGAATGAATGAGGCCTAGGAAAAAAAATGTTGTGTTTCCGGTTACCCGACCGACCCTATGAAAAGACCCCCGACCCTAGCCTTTTTTGGGCCGACCAAAAATTTCGAGCGGCTAGCGGTCGGACCGTAAAAATGTTATCGGTCCGGTCCGAAAAAACCGAAACGTCAGTGGACCGGTTTTTTGGACCGGAACAAAATTCCATACTTGTTGTTACTGATGATCACTACATACAAGGAAACCTGCCAGGAAAATGAAAATCCAGCCTTAAAATAAAAGAAATTTACCTTAGATTCCGTCTCTCTCATTTTGCAACAATATTTTCCCATGTCTTTGTTACCGATAGTTATCTAGAAATCACGCAGGACAAGTTTACAGGCCGTGTTTGGTTCGGATGGAGCCGAAAATCACTGATTTTTACACCAGTGGTCAACACTGTGACGCACGTAAATTTTCACTCGAAATGAGAAATTACCGCCCAACAAAATGGACCAATAGGTTTCCAGTGATGTATTTCTCTTTTGTTCTTGTGGTCAACTTGTTTTCTTTGCTTGAATCGCGTAAAATACCAAGGAAAATACATGGAAAGTTCAGGAATCGCCGAGCCGCGCCGATCTGCCGGTGCCATCTTGGATTTTAATGTATTAATATATTCGACATCCTGCGATGTGATTGGTTGGACAGTTAAATGTCTTAATATATTCGGTATCCTGCAATGTGATTGGTTGGACAGTTTAATGCATTAATATATTCGGTCTGAAGTTTTAGTAGCTCTGGAGAAGAGAAGAAGTGTGATAATGTATAGAAAGTATAAAATAGAATAAAATTGGATGGAATAAAATAGAATTTAAAAAAAACTAAATAAAAATAAAATGAAAATTATTTTAGTGGTTACTTATATTGTATTTAGGCCTAACAAAATAAATGTTGTGTTTCCTATTACAGTCTTTACAGAACCTTTAAAAGTGTTCAGTTCAGACTGTGTACATCTCGCTTGTCTGAATCTTTCTAGAGGTTACTATATACAAACTCTTTTGTTGAAGAATTTTACGATCTGTTTTGTACTGCCCAATTTTCTGTGTAGTACAAACAGATCGTACGTTCATTGTCCCGGCTTTGACTAAAAAAAAAAAAAGAAAAG